GAGGGGTGAAATGCAGTTGTGAAATCTGATCGTTGACGAGTTACGCGTTATTAGTTCCAAAAGGAGGATTTCACGAAACTGATCAGTAGAATCTTCTCGAACGTGGCGAATAAGAAACGAATGGTTGTGTGAGCTTTCTAAAATCCAAGAAACGTTTCCTTCCGAAGTTACGCGATATTGGCGAGAACTCTCAAAAAGAAAGTTCGAACATGAAAGTTAGTTGATAAATTAAGAACGAATGTGGATCTCCGAAAACTGCCCCGTATGCAAACGTTTTGCATTTTGAAATGAAATGACATACTCAAAGTTCAAAGAACATTTATGGCCAAAACATGAAACAAGGTAGCTTGTCTTAAAAAAACATCTCCTTTCGAAGCGCTTCCTCTGGAGCTGTTCGATTCTGGTCCCATGACGTATAAGCCTAATATTTTCAAGACATGTTGACTATGGAATGTTATCGAGTAAATATTCAGTATTGAAAGTTTTCCTGAAAAAAAATCGAAGCCAGAGAATTAATTTGTTGCATTTCATTGCCACTCCTTGGTGGCTAATGATCAAAGAAAATATTTAATGGAATTTTCATTTATTTCAATCTTTATGTTATTGCTTCAATTATCATCTTCGCGTCAGGCAAAGGTTTAACTAAACTTTCCTTAAGGATTAATGTGACGGTCATCGAAGTGCAATTCTCATAAGTAGGACCGGACAAAAGGTGCGATAAGCTCTGTTAGCCGCTGATTAATGTTTGCTCCTCAGTCGATCTTTACAGTCGATCTTTATGTCTGTTGCAAAGGCTATGGAAAATACAGTTCGCTTTGCCATAAAATTCTTTGATGAAAACGTTGATTAATATGCATGTAAATCGAGCACGGCGGGCCTGACAAAGCATTCACAAAAACAGTCATGTGATCAGCTTTGGAATTTTCCTCTTCATGGGAAGCATTACTCTGACGGTTCTGTCTATGTGAACTGCGAAGAACTCGAAGACATCGCCAACTATATTTGCTTTGGCTAATCGTTAGACGCGGAAATGAGCAGCAGATGGGAAGCGGCATGGGCAAAGTTAAATGTATTAAAATATCGCGTTGAGGGAGGGCTGTTCATGCAAACGATGAACAGCTCTTCATGATTAACGACGGTGACTGCAGACAGGTTCACCACTAAAGTAGACGAAAGCAAGCTGGTCGTCAGGCGAAAACAGTACGATTAAAAATATGCAAGTCTTCCTCGAAGACTAAGTTCCGAATGTACGAGTTCAACAACGGGTATGCTTTCTGCCATCAGCAACTCGTACACTCGATCTGTCTGCCTCGTTGTTAAATGAAAGACGAGCACTGACCATAAAGAAATTAAGATTTGACTATGTCTTGGCTGTCCATAGTAAAATGAGGTGATGAACTAATGGTCAAACTCTTCGGCCAGCGATAGAGGCAGAGAGCAAAGAGCGTGAAATGCTGGAAGAACGCGAAAAAGTCGATTTGCATTCAAGCTCACGAAAGAGGAC